CTGTTTGTGTTTGAAATTCACGAAAGTCTTCTGAAATATTATATCCATTCATGATCCACTATAGGTAAGAGGTCAATGATTAATGAACTAACACCATATTGGGATGAATTTTTTTTAATACTCACATCATGGTCCGAACTACGATCAATTATAATTTTCTCAGCAACGTGCTTCCACGAGAGGATCATCTTCGACGACTTGATAAATCAATTAATATTCAAGAATTTGCTAGTTATTCTGAAAACTATAATAAATGATAACTTAGTACTTTACCTTTTTTGATTCATTCGAAAGTGAAGAATCTGTAAATTCCACATTATCTGACTCTACACCCTCTTTATCCTGAAATGTAAAATACGATACATCCTCAACTTCGTTATAATCGTTGGAAGAATTATTCATGCTGTTATAACTTGGAGGGGGAGTGTGAGTGTGACTGCGAGGAGGAGTGATAACGGGAGAGACTTCCTCAGCTGAGCCCGATGGTTTATCTTCTACGATTCGTTCTGATGGAGTTCGTCTCTCGCCATCTTCAATAGTAGTTTTGATCTAAAATCCAAAAGGTTTATTTTCATTTATGTAACAAATTTAGGAAGAATTTTAATTTCGAACTCACCTTTTTTGATGGAGCCGTAACTTCTTCAGTACTTGGTATTTCCTCTTCATTATTCGAATCTCGATGATGCTTCATGCAACGGTTGTCATGCAATGTCGCGCAACTTCCAGTTGCAAGTTGATTTAGTTGATTTACATGCAAATGCCCAACATTCACAAATGCATTATCCGAACCATTTTCTAAACTCCTCGATGAAACCCAATCCTTAGAAAAATATAATAAGAAATTAATACTTGTAAGAAACAACATCAATACTATACAAATTAAACTAATCTAAACAGCTTGCACCAAGCGTCGGAACACTGCAGACGAATAGTCCAGCTTGCGCTAAGCGTCGAACGAATAGTTCATCACTGTTGGAGGTCATTCCTTCAGACGAATAGTCCCAGCTTGCACTAAGTGTCGAACACTGCAGACGAATAGTCCAGCTTGCGCTTAGCGTCGAACGAATAGTTCATCACTGTTCAGATTGACCTCAATTCCGCTTTTTTTAATTAATTCAAACAAACGCATACCTTCCAGTCATCGAGGATTTCTCGAGCTTTTCTCTTTCTCAACACGTCAAATAAATTAGATTCTTCCACCGTCTGAAGGTCTTTCTTTATACGGTCTAGTATTTTCTTTCTTTCTTTTTGCTCCATTTTCGCATTATAATAATTTGTTACATTATAGCACGTCCAATCTTCAATCGCAGTGACATGATAAAAAGCCAATAATTGTGCGGACTGTGCGGTGGTCATTTTATTTTATTATTTGCAAAAAAAATTTTGTCTTCTGAAGTTTGGGTCTATATTTAAATAAAAGTCGCGTATTACGTTTGTTACCGGCTAATCCACGTAACACGGCCTACAATGGAAAATCATGTGATCAACAAGCTATCCCGATTTTGTAACATGCGAAATTTTATTAATTTTCAGTAAAAAAACTGAAGATAACGAATGAAATGTATGATGCTACTAGATTTCCGAAATAAATTTTCCCACACATATTTACAGAATTTTGTCTATCTATATCTCTCTCAAACATATAGATTATATAAAACATTATTCCTCGAAAGAGAACTTCTCTGAAATTAAGAAATTTCGAATCTACAGTATAATTACGGAAGTATTAGCCACTGAGTTAAAAAAAAATAATAAATAACGATTTACACTTACCATCACGATTCATTTTCACATAATTCCATTCCGCCTTATACACAAGATATTTATTGCTTAATTTTTTCTGCGTTATCGCCATTACGATACTGCGCAAAGCTTTAAGAATTCAGCACGTGAAGATGTTTAAATTTTTTGATGCACTGCGCCAGACTTTTGCTCTGTTACATGTGATGAGATTCATGTGAATAATTTCACTGCGTCTATTGTACGCGTGATGATGGTCAAAGATTTTCTTGGCGAATATCAAAATGCCAATATATAACAAGAAGAGCAATATGGCCGAAATTTTCATGGATATCTGTAGAGTTGAAAAAATCGATTAGCACCGTGATGACGTTTTCCTAAAATCAAATCTAACATACCTTTCTCTTATTCTTTGGGAAATAAATTGATTATGGTAAGCTTGTATTTTGTTTGATTTCTTTTTGCATTACTTGCACAAGACGGATAAAAGGATTCACTAATCAAGGCCTCACCTTTTATATGATTCCTAAGGATCAATCTTTGGAATAAATCTTTGGGGAAATTACATTATTATGATTCATCACAAAAATCAGATCAGATACTCCTTAAAATTATAATAGACTATTCCTGGATCAACAAGGTGTCTTTTTTTTTATTAATACATGTAAAATCTTGAGTATATGCAAGAAGTTTTCCTGTGATAAATGGTGATAATACTGCACATTTATCAAAATTTTTGGGTCTGAGAAATATTAGCATACAAACACAATCCCAGAACACATACCAGATATTGACATGTAAATATATTACATTTAATGCGCCTTTGCTTTATTGATTGTAAATAAAAAAATACATATTTTTGTTCATACTGCGAAATAATATCTTGACTATTGATCCGCAGTTACCAATGCTTTTTTTTGTAACAATGCCATCACATCGCCATGATTACGAACTTGAATTTATTGCTTGAACTGATGCACGTAAGATAATACTTCAATCTATCTTGAGGTAACAACTTTGCTAATTCAGGATCATAAGAGAGTTAATTCTTATTTTTGTGATACCATGAGCCATGTAATCCATAATTCCCATGTTTTTTATCATAAATAGGACATGGTGAGCTCTACGGCTGAGGTGATGCAAAATTATAATTATCAATCCCTCTAAAACTATTTCTGAATTCAAATATAGGAAGTTCTTTAACATAGATTTGATAATTAACTCTTGATCTTATTTGGCTTTGAAAGTGATAGGCTCTTTTTTTTCACATTGCTCAGAAAAAGATAAATAGGATACTTTATTTTCTGGCTTCGAATTTCTGAAAAGAAGGGCTTTTGATAATTGTTATGGCTCATTTTCAGTTTCTTTTTTATATCTTTTGTATAAATTGGAACGAATCTTATCTGTCAAAATACTTGATAACCCACTTAATTTGACATGCCAATCTAGGTATTCAGGAGTTAATATTTTATTGGACTTGGTCATATCTAAATTTTATATGATTAAGAGTCAGTTTAAATTCCTTTTATTCTCATATTCATTTAAAAAAAAAAGATTAAAATTCCCTAATAGAAAGCTTACTAATATTTTTTATCATATTTTTAAGAAAATAGTTAGACCATTTTTTGAAGTATCTATGGTATAAGAAAGAACAATAAGACTATACAACAATTTCAATTTCACGTTATTTATATTTAATAAAATAAGATCTGGTTTTATATCTACCTTCTATACCTTCCTCATCATCATGATCTAACTTGCATAATGAACATGAAGTCTCGTCAGTAATTCCATAATAATCAACATTTTTACTACTAAATTCTCTATATAAATTAGGATATTGATTTAATGCTTTATTGTAAAAATAGGTGTGATCATAGGTTGGCTAAGGTGCAGTTGTCATTTGCATTTCTGATGCATCAGTTTTATTAGTCTTTAAAGTCACGTGTCCATTCCAATTTGAAACAGAGTCATCATAATCTACATCATCTGTATTGGTAACTTTTAGGAAAATTATTTATAATATTTTTTTTTTTAACGATGTGGCACTGCCAGTAACTTTATTAAATTTATACAAAAGAAATACAAAGTAAATCAAATAAATTTAGACTAAGTACTAGCTATCTCCTGTAGTTATATTACAAATCCGTTTGAATCGACTGATCATTGTCTTCCCCCTCCAACAAGTCCACTAAGTTTATATCTAATGAAAATTGCTATCAACAAAAGAAGAAAAAGAAAGAGTCAGTATCTATCTAAAAATCCGTAAAGGTGTAACCAAATTTATTCGCTATATGGATCTAAGATTTCCAATTATATGTAGGACTTGACATTTCTTCATATCTCAAAAATGAACTAGCACCTCGTTTAGTCTTATCTTTGATTGTGATACCTAATAAACGTTCTTTTACTATCATTAGATTACAACGATGTTTTCAAACATCCTTGAATAATTTTTGATGAAAAACTATCAAGGTTAGAGTGATGGTTGAGAAACATTGACCCTTATTCCTGGTGATTTTGTGAACTATATCAATTAATAAAGAAGAAATGAGGAAATGAATAATATTGATGTAACCATTTGTTCTAGATGAGGGAGTGGCAAAGATATCATTTAAAATGTCTAGTAATTCTGAAAGAAACTCAGTGAGTTTAGAGACATTTAATTCTGTGAGGCGATAGATTAAATTATCTTTGGTTATTTGAATAACATCTTGTAATTTTGTGGCATAAGCAGGGTAGGTCCAAAGATGTGCAGGAGTTTCTGTATCCTAATCACAGCCTACAAAACACTAATGTTCATACAAATCAGAGCATAGTATGGATAATCTTGATAGGGTTAGTACAGAGGGCCGCCAAAAGTCTCTGAACACTTTTTGGCTCATTAAAAAACTTAAAATTTTATAATATGAATAAAAA